AGTGTTTCTTTGGGAATATGTGAGCAGTTACTTTTATTAGAAGTGTATCTTTTTAAGAAACTTCTCTCTTTTAGATGAAGATTTTGGTGGTCATTAGTTTCTAGAATTTTTTGAACTGGAAGGGACCACAGAATGCGTGGGCCAGCTCTGCCTAGCTCTGCCTCTGATACGACAAAACTGAGGACTTGCTCAGGACTGCCGGCGCCTCTGCCCTCTTCTAGTAACTTCATCACGGAGTTTTACTGCTCTCTCAAGGCGTTCTTCTTGATATTCAGTAAAAAACTCATTTAATTTAAGGCCATTTTTCATATACTAAGTCATTCTTGGTGATGGGAGACACACTGAGCGGCATCCTTCTCAGAGATAACCTCTCAAATCTTGCCTCTGTTCACTCTCACTGCCACTCTCTTAATTCACATTCTGAATGTGTCTCGCCTGGACTCCAACCCCAGCTTTCTGAGTTCTCTGCTGGTCTTGTCTCTCCACTCCAGAGTGCTGCCAGATTCGTAGCCCTAAAATGTGTGTGTCCCTTGCCTTTATAGTGCTTTATAGGATAGTGTCCAAGCTTGTCAGTTTCATCATCTATATGTTAGAAAGTATCTTCTGCTGGGAATGGCATTAAATCCTAAAATATCAATGACTTAAACAAGAAACAAGTTTATCTCTATCTTATATAAAAGAAGACCAGAGGTAGGTAGGCCAGGGCTTGTAGGATAGTTCCACTCTTCAGCTCATTCTGTTGTGCTGCTCTGCACAGTAGAAAGCACCCTTGTCCTGTGGCCTCCAGGACCAAGATGAGTGCTTGAGTTCCAGCTATCACATCCACATTCCAGCCAGCAAGAAGCGAGAGAGGAAAGGCTGAGCCTCTCTCCTTTAAGGACACTTCCTGGAAGTCACTTACAACACTTTAACCTGCATCTTATTGGATAAGCTTAGACATGTAGGCCATGCTTAATTGCAAGAAAGCTGAGGAATGTAGACTTTTAACTAGTAAACCCAGCTAAAAATTGGAATTCTTATTACCAGGAAAGAAGAGAATAGATAATTGGGCAGTAACTAGAGCCTGTGCCGTAGGACCTATCCCACGTCTCCACCAGCCTTATTCTTCTCCCCATCCCAGTCCCTTCCAGCCCAGCACTTGTGTCCTCAACCTGTTGGTAGCTACAATAAATCTCTCGCTAATCCTTTACCATGTCAGGACATTTCACAGCTCTGGGCCTTTGTGTGAGTGCTGGCCTTTACCTGGAATGCCCTTCAACTTCCTTCTCTCTTCAAAGTATCTGTACATCCCTCAAACCCCAAGTCACTTCCTCAGTGAACTTTTCTTATTTCCTTAGCAGTGGTAGCACATTACTTCTTACTTGAGCATGGAGCAGTGGAAGAGCTTCATGAACTTAGTAGTGGAACAGATTGGGGTTTGAATCTCTTCTCTGCAGCTTGGGCTGGAAAGTATAATATGGGAGTTCTCAGCACATAAATTGTATTTAAAGCCACAACCCATATCTCTTTTTTCTTTTGGTGGGGAAGATTTGCCCTGAGCTAATATCTGTGCCAGTCTTCCTCTGTTTTATATGTGGGATGCTGCCACAGCATGACTTGATGAGCGGTGTGTAGGTCCACACCTGCGATCCGAACCCTGGGTTGCCAAAGTGGAGCACAAGACTTTAACCAGTATGCCACCTCCCTGTCCCCCCCCGCCCCCCTCCCCCCGATCTCTTTTTTTGAGTTTCAGACCTTCATGTTTAACTGCTTACTCAACATCATCACTTGAAGGTTTTTCACAGGTTGCCTCGCAAATAGAACTGCCTTTGAAATAGAACTCTTGATTTCCTCCTCTAGTCTCTCCTGTGCCAGGAATGATGCCTCCATTAACCTAGCTGCAGATGTTGGAAAGCTGAAAATAACCCTTTACTTCTCATATCTAATAATCCTTAAATTCTCATATCTAATTACCACCAAAGTCTATTAGTTCAACTCCAAAGTATGTCTTAAATTGATCCTTTTAATTCCATCTCCAGTGCCTGCATTGTAGCACTATCCTCTCATGCCTGGGCTACTGCACTAGCTCTTAGTTGGTCTCCCTACATGCCCTCTTGTTGTTTAGTGCCCTCAAATTGACTCCTATTGACACGTATAGCAGAGCAGAACCCTCCCTGGTCTTTTTGTGCCATCTTCTCATCTTCCATCACTATATCACACAATGCTCTGATACTCTTTATAGGGTTTTCATGGCCAGTTTTTTTGAAAGTGGGTGGCCAGGTCCTTCTTCCTAGTCTCTCTTAGTCTGGAAGCTCTGGAAGCCTGTCCACGATGGATGACCCTGCTGGTATTTGAAATACCGGTGGCATAGCTGTCAGCATCATAGTAACATGCAGCCGCCACGGTATGACATCCGACAGATGGGTATTGTGGTTCTCTGACCAGGACACGAACCTGGGCCACAGCAGGGAGAGTGCTGGATCTTAACCCCTAGACCATCAAAGGCTGGCTATATTGCCTCTTAGACTGCTCTAATCTCCACCTCAGGCAGTATCATTTTTTTTGCACAAAATCCTTAACCAGCTTCCCATTGTATTTAAGTTTAAATTCAGGATTCTTAAATCCTAAAAGACCCCACCTGACTTGACTCTTGTCTACCTCTCATTCTCATCTCTTGCCACGCCCATTCTTACTCACTTTGCTCCAGCTACATGGTCTTCTTTCTGTTCCTTGATTGTGCCAAGAACTTCCTACCTCTGTCCCAAGTGCCATTCCCCACCCAGGGTCTCTTGTCCCCTTCTTCACTCCTATACACACCATCCTCATGTCTCAGCTTAAATGTCACTTCCACATAGGGTCTTTCCTTGACTTCTTGATTTAACTCGTGTTCTCTCCTCTTCTTCCTTGGGACTGTTCTTTCCTTCTTCGTATTCGTCACAATTTATAACTTTATATTTATTGAGTGGTTATTTATTGACTATCACTCTCACATTAAAGTATATATTCCATAAGGGCTGGGATTATATTTCTTTTATTCACCACTGAATTTTCAATGCCCATTTCTCAATAAATATGCATGGAATAAATGAATAAACAAATGATCTTGTGATTAGACAATGCAGTAAATTCTCTCATTAAACTGACAACTTTGCTATTCAGTGTGGCAAGACGTAGTTGTTGGAAACCTATTAAGGTGATTCACCCTTCTAACCTGGCATTGTGTCTCTTCAGACATTGAACATATCTATGATGCTCACCTGCATCATATAAACTTCAGTTTAATTTATTAGAATGCGTCTTTGTCTGAACAAGGCCTTGTTTCTGCCAGGATATCCTTATAAACAACACAGAACCTGAAAAGGTCGTCCTCAGGTGTGATATCTGAAAATCATGATTGGGCTCACTTCTTGGCTTGCCCTCTTTCTTTGGATACCAGCTGGCATAGCCTTTGGAACAGAAGACTGACTTGTTATTGGGATGGAATCTAAAGCAACAATGATTTTAAGATGGAGCTATCAGTGACTGTCATAGAAAGCTGCATGCGCAGGATTTGGGCTGCCTTGGAAAAACCCTCACTACCCTGTCTTGATTGTCAGCTCCTGAGACTGAAAACTCAGATATCAGATGTCTAGATAGAGTGTACTTGCTCATGGTAGTCCCAGCCTCCTAATCTTTCCTGGATTACCTTGTTCTGTAGGACACATTGGCAAGATCTGTTATGGAACAGATCAACAACTTGTGTGGGTTTTTTCTCCATAAGAGTATCAAAGATGTTGTTCTGGAAGCATCTGATGATTTTGGAATAATCATGAACTGTGGTCTAAAATAAAAGATGAATGTGGATGATGTCGCTCTTTCACTGATGAACAGGGTGATCAATAACGGAAAAGTTTCTGTTTGTTTTCTCTTTCTGGAAAACAGTGAGAATTCTGCTTTCAGTGGGCACTATGGTAGGTATATTTCAGCATAGATGGAAAAGCAAACAGTTGATCATTCTTAAGCCCCAATAGGTCGGATCATGTCAGTGTTTCCAGAGAACTCCCAGAATGGTAAAAGTTGGCTTTATGCTGAGCCTTTGCTAAGAGGCAGCCGGTCCTGAAAAGGATTTATTTATTTATTTTGGCCTTGGTAACGTACAGGTAATGTACTTGATAAGTACAGGTCTCTCTTCGTTATCTGGAATGGGTCCCACATGAATTCGCTGTGACCCCTAGAATCCAGAAACTCCAGTATAGTTGGATAAGTATATTTTCTGGGGGAGATCTAGTGTAACACATGAAAATGCAAAATAGTAAATGTTCGGAAGTGTGTAATTTGCTGCTTTTGTTCATGAGTGGTTTTAATACTTCTGGTACAGAGCCTCACTCCCTCTTTACTGGGGAGATGTGGTTTCAGTTCGTTGGGTGAATTTTGTAAGTTTTTGAAGAAAGGAAATTAAACATTAAAAGACTTTAAGTCCTTTACTCTTTATATAATGTCACTAAGAAAAGCCAGGAAAATCAGAGTTGGCTTATTTATTTATTTAATAAATATAATCTATTTTCCACCATTTTGTTTGTTATGGCTATTACCAAAGTACTTTGAAAAGTTAATATTGATTTTTATTTTGTTTTATTTTGGCAGATGTGCATAATAAATTATCCTAGCTATTCTTCGTTGTGGGCTGGGGCAGTATTTAACATTAATTTTTTTTGGCATTTTGACATGTGGGCTATTTAGTTTAATTCAATAGCTTGGTGCTCTCTACTTGTATGGTGCTTAGTGTATGAATAACATTAAATAGATAAAATATGGCCTACTGAGTGTGAACATTAATACAAGTTGGTGATGTGTTTAACCTTAGCCAAGTCACCTAACCACTGGGGGCCTGGGTTTCCTTTTCTGTAAAATGAGTAGTTTGGGGTAAACAGTATCCAAGAATCCTTGCAGCTCTGAATTGAAAAATCCCATGAGTCTGTAAGCGTAATAGATACGCATCTAACTGATTCCTCCTCTTCTCTTTTTCTCTCTTTTTAATTTAGGAAAAGAGGATGCTGGTGCACCAGTTACAAAAGATGAGAACACCTCCATGGCACAGGATACAAGAACTTTACCAGAGAAGTCACTGCAAAGATCAGCAAAGGTCATTGCCTGCAGATTTTCTCCATTTATCCAAATGGCAGTCACCTGAGCTACCTGTCAAAAGTGTCTCATGGGATTCAGTTAGGCCCATAGTTGGTTAGTTAATCAGAAAAATCAGTGGAAGCAGGGAATCATAAAAAGTGAATCTTTTTTATAACTTTTAACATGTATGTATATATTCATTCGATGAAGAGCCAAGGCCTTTTCTATGAGTGTGGGCATGTTTATTGAAGTTTTACATTATCTGTTTCTGCTTAAACCACATTCATAATGTGACGCCTGTGATTTCCAGTTTGGGTTATTTAAAGTAGAGTGAGAATTTAGGTACTGGTGAAGCAACATGAATGTAGACTCCTAGATTTTTAAAGTTTTTTTCTCCAGTGTTTTTTTATTGCTGTCATGCCCATAGCTAATTCAAAAGTAAGTTTTTAAAAAAGTCTTTTTAATTTTTTCTAGAGTATTTAATTTAGTTATCATAGAAACAAAAACAATTGCTTTTGCTTCCTGTTTTTGTTGTTTTGCATAATTCAATTTTATTTTTTAATTAATATGCTCATGGCATCTTCAGACATGGGATCAAACACAGCTGACCCTAGCTATACAAATAGCCCATGGTGGAAGAAGTGGTACAGGGGCAAAGAGTGAAGTGGTGTAACAGCATGAGGCTTCCTCTGCCAGAGGCCTCTGTCAGCGAATTTAACCTGGGACTGCAGTGTTGCTACTCAGTCTAGCAAGCTGGTTAGGAGAGAATCTCCTGCATATTGACCTGAAGAATTTCTAAATGTATTACATATGTGTTACCCCCCATTGCCCATCCAGTTATCTAGATCTTTATTTTAATAAGCGTTTTGAATACTAACCATATATAAGGCAGTGTGCTAGGTGTGGAAGATTATAATGAATGGAAAGCCTGTGGGCTGGATTTGGCTCACAAATTTGTAATTTTGTTTGACCTGTGCAGTATTTAAAAATTTTGACTTTATAGCTTACATTTAAAAAAACACATAGTGTTCACCTAAGAAAATCAGACTTCTGGCTTCTCTTAAAACAAAACATCCAGCAACACTGGGCCACGTTCTTAAATGACTTTAGTTAGGGCTGAGTAGAGGCAACCCTCTGTAGATGGAACTTGCGTTCTGCAATTTGCTACTGCTCTCCAGTGGTGCCCTCTCTCTTGCTGGGGTTTTTTTTTGGATAGTTTCTTAATGAATTCAATCTAAAATCACAAGGCAAATCAGTACTTATATGTGAAACTTAGGCTGTGGTAAAGTCATTTCTAGGACAACTAATGTATGAATCACAAGTCATGTCAGGCTACTTTATACACTTCTTATGCTGTCAAATATTAAACAAGAAGCAAGGAATTCTGGTTCAGACAAGATGGCGTAGACTTGTTTCTCCTTGCTCTTCCCAACTAAGTACAACTAGAAACCCTGGAAACTAACAAGATATAACCAAAAGAGAGTTCTGGAAGGTGAAAAGAGGAAGGCAAACTAGGTAGGGGTTCTAAGACTAGAGGAACAACATAGCAGCAGGGCTCTTTACAACCCTCTACCAACAAAAAGGGACCCAGGCCCAGTGTTTCTGGATCCCAACATAGTAATAGAAAGTGGCCCAGGCAGACTTGTCCCTCACTTATATCTAACAGAAGTCCCTCTGACAACACCAGGGAATCCCAGCAGCACCTGCAAGAGGGATTGACTGGGAGCCCTGCTGACGAAAAGTGGCCAGGAGAAGGGCTCTCCTTCCCTACCATACCTGAGACTTCTCTCCCCTACCAAGAGACACTAGCATCTGGGTAGCTTTGACAATGAGGATCCCACCGAAGAAGTGGCCCAGCCCCAGAAGCTTCTTTGTTCCTATGAGCCTGAGACTCCCCTCCCCCACCCAGAGAGACCTGGGAGCCAGATGGCACTAGCAAGGGAGATCCTACCATAACATGTTTGAGGTCCAGGAAACCTCTTTATCTTCATGGGCTTGAGACACCCCTCTTCCATCCAGAGACACTGGGCAGCTGGCTAGCACCAGTAAAGGGGGTCCTACCACAACAAAAATCCACAAACGGGAAGTTTCTTTGTCCCTGCATGGACATGGATTAGAATTTGCTTCTAATCCATACTAGAGAGACCAGGTGGCCAGGCCTGAGGAAGTTCCTTCTGTCTTCTCAGGCAGTACCAACAGAGACCAATGGGAACCCCAGTGGCACCATGGCAACCAAACATATCAAAATAGTGCTGCAAAGCCTCTGAAAATTAAATTGTCATTGGAACTACAGCCCACAAAATTAGTCCAGGACCTGCATTCCAAACCTAGAAAGGGTGACTACCTTCTAAAAGAAAAGATTTAAATAAGACCTTGAATCTCCTAACATCATAGCCAAAAGGTCCAGGATACAATAGAAAATCACCACTTGAGTGAGGAAAGACAACTAACTGATCCCAACCCAAAGATGTTCCAGTTATCTAACAATGATTTTAAAACAGCCATCAGGGGCCGGCCTGCTGGCATAGTGGTTAAGTTTGCATGCTCTGCTTTGGCGGCCAGGGTTTGCAGGTTCAGATCCCAGGCCGACCTACACACGGCTCGTCAAGCCATGCTGTGGTGACATCCCACATACAAAATAGAGGAAGATTGGCATAGATGTTAGCGCAGGGCCAATCTTCCTCAAGCAAAAAGAGGAAGATTGACACAGATCTTAGCTCAGGGACTGTCTTCCTCAAGCAAAAAGAGGAAGGTTGGCAACAGATGTTAACTCAGGGACAATCTTCCTCACCAAATAAAAAATAAAAATAAAACATCTGTCATAAATATGCTTCAACAAGCAATTAAAAATTCTCTTGAAACAAATGAGAAAATAGAAAATCTAAACAAAGAAATAGAAATTATGAAAAAAGAATCAAATGGAAATTATAGAACTGAAAAATATAATAGCAGAAATAAAATAACTTGCTGGATGGGCTCGATAGTGGAATAGAGGTGACTCAGCATAGAATTACTTAATTTGAGGACAGATCAATAGAATTTACCCAATCTGAACAGAGAGAAAATAGACTGAAAAAAATGAACAGAGCCTCAGGAAGTTGTGGGACAATAAAAAAGATTCAATAATCAAATAACTGGACTCCCTGAAGGGGACTCACAGGTGCCGCTGGGATTGCCTTGTGATTTTAGATTGAATTCATTAAGAAACTATCCAAAAAAAAAGAGAGTGGGGCTTAAAGACTAGACTGTGCTGAATGGAAACAGGAAAAAAAAAAAATATAGAGATTTTGAGGTCCTAGCAACAGTCGTATAATGTTAGTGTGTAATGGTATCCATCTTGTATAATTGTAATTTTCTTTTTTTCTAATGGGCTTAATAGCTTGTGTTTAATGTTAGAGAATAGCAGTGGCTAATTGCTCCAGAATTGAAGATTTTTAGGGTTGGTGCAGTGGAAGGACAAGAGGGGTGGGTCATTTGACAACATAGGTAAGAGGACTTGGAGTGACTTAGGTATGATGACATAGGTAAGAGAACTTGCTGTCTCTTGGAGGTAGGAAAGGATTCAAGGCTAAGTAGCTAACACATAGAGGAAACAAGCAAGAGTCAAGGCACTAGTAGTCTTGATGTGGTGAAAAAGCCCATGAAGGGGCACAGGGGAGGAAGAGAGCTGGATGATGGGTCAGGCTGAGTTGATCAGGATTGGACCAGTTCCATGTGATGCTGAGGTGTGGCCATGAGGATGAGTTGCTGAAATCGAATGGCAGTGAAAGCCACCAGCACTGATGAGTTACAGGAACTGTAAGGAGAAGATGCTGGCTGAGTCATTTACCTGGATGAAGGTGGGAGAGGCAGACTGTAAGCCAGGTATTGCAGAGTAACCAGGAGGTCCGTGGATGAGTAACAAGAAGGGGACAGCCTGAACCATAAAAGGGTGCAGATATATGCATGAGGCAGAACACTAAATGGTTTGGATGTGATCATGCAACACAGGAACACATGGACTCCACCTCATTCAGGGGCTGTGTGTGGGAGAAGGAGCAGCCTCTGCCCAAAGTGGCTAGAACAGAGTCTTTGTGAAAGACAAGTACGTGCAAGGAGGGACTTAGAGGATTCTGGAAAGTGGGCACAGCAAGCTTGTTCAAAACAGAACGGTGTTTGCCAAAGAGGAGGGAAGAGTTAGGAAGAAGGTAGAGCATATAATGATGGGACTGAGATTGAATGAGAAGACAGGTGCCCAAAGGCACTTTCTTGTGGGGTAAAAGCCAAGAGTGCCTGGGGGAGAGGTGAGGTGCGCTGATAGGCTGAAACCCCACGTGGAGCCAAGAGACATGAACAGGAGGAGCTGCCAGCTCAACAGCAGTCTGAACCTTTGCCCAGGGGTCTAAGTAGAACGTGGATAAGTGATCCCAGTGAAGGGGTGAAACTACAGACTGTCTACAGCGGGAGAAGGAAACAGTTCAGGAAGAATAACTTCCTAGGGTGGGTGAAGGAGATTCACTTTCTTCAAGAATGCTTCTCTCCGGGTGGAAATAGCATGTGCTTGTAGTGGTGTAAAATGAGAGATTGAGTTTAATCTCGGAAAGAAAGAAGCTTAGAAGTTTTCAGCTTTGGAAGGCATAATGTAGAAGTTATTTATTTATGTTTAATAGAATTTTTAAAAAAGCAACCTCTGTGTTGTTCTGCTATAGTTCATGTGAGAAAAGTGTAATGCAGAACAAATATGTGGAGCCATACTTCCCTGAGGGAGTCTTAGTAGCTCCTGAAGATGTAGGTCCTGCTTATAAAAGCACTTTTATCTAATTCATCTATGTATTGCATAGTTTTTCCTTGGAAATATGTGCTCAATGGATACTTAAGTTGTTGCAATTTAAATATAGATTACTTAGTCACAGAGCATCACTGAGAGGCACTTTATTTGTACCTAGAAAAACTGCTGGATCAATTAGTTGACCAAATAATATCTTGCTGACTTGTCTCAACTGTTGTGCAGCCCTTTGTATAAACAGCAGTCGCTGTATCTGTGGTGTTTTCAGGTGGTTTACATCTTGGAGAAAAAACATTCCCGAGCAGCAACTGGCTTCCTCAAACTCTTGGCTGATAAGAACAGTGAACTATTTAGGAAATACGCATTGTTTTCTCCCTCGGACCACCGAGTGCCTAGAATTTATGTGCCTCTCAAGGACTGTCCCCAGGACTTTGTGACTCGGCCTAAGGATTATGCCAACACGCTGTTCATCTGCCGCATCGTGGACTGGAAGGAGGACAGCAATTTTGCGCTGGGGTAGGTGATCTCTGGCAAGAAAAGCCACAGATCCCAGACAGAACTCGGTTTAGTTGGTCTTTAGGTAAACTCTTGTGTGTATTTTAATTGTTATTTCTTTTCTTTATCAAAGCATGAGTACTTGGCATATTTTGGTCCTAGTTCCTAAGAAATTGCCCTTATCTACCACCTCAACTGTTCACCTGTAGATTCCTTCAGTTGCCAGGCAATCACCTTTTTCTTTTTTTTTCTTTTTTTTAATTTTTTCTCCCCAAAGCCCCCCGGTACAGTTGTATATTCTTCGTTGTGGGTCCTTCTAGTTGTGGCATGTGGGACGCTGCCTCAGCATGGTTTGATGAGCAGTGCCATGTCCGCGCCCAGGATTCAAGCCAACGAAACACTGGGCCGCCTGCAGTGGAGCACATGAACTTAACCACTCAGCCACGGGGCCAGCCCCCCTTTTTCTTTTTCTTTTGACATAAAATATAAGCACATTCTCAGCCTCTACCTATTTCCTGTTATGTCATGAATCCCATTTGTACTTGTGACCTGCAAAGAATTTGTTGTATCAAACAATCAGACGACTCCTTTTAGACACTAGTGTTAAAGTATGCAAAATTATAGGCATATTCAGGGAACGCCAGTCTCCCGTGATTTAAAATATGAATAAGAAGGTATATTTGAGTTGTGCGCTTTTTGATATTGATCTTCAGAGGTTTCACTTATGGTGTTAAAAACTAAATTACCCTACTGTAAGCAGGAAAAGGGGACCATGTTTTTATGGAAGCTTCCAGAGACTAGTCTAACTAAATATAGATTATGTAGTGACAGGCATCATGGATAGCTACTTCTTTTTGATCTGAAGAAACTGCTGCACCCAGCTGTTCGATCAAATTCTATGCCTTCTTACCATTGGTATTCATTTTTAAAGAAGAGCAATATTAAGTTTTAGCTGTATCTTTAGCCCTTTATTATGGATGGTGTCTGATGTATGCTTCACAGGAAGTAAAAATAAAGGCATACAAGCTAGAAAAGAGATTGTTCTGACACTTTTAATTTAGTTTGGTGACTTTCTTATTGGTCATCTAACTTGTACAGGGTGGACCCTCCTGGGAATGTGCTGTGGTTATGAGTGCCAGCATTGAACGATGGCCACAGTGTGCTGCTTTTATCAGGTTTACCCTGTACTTAGCCTCTTATGCCTAGCAAAGTAAGCCAAGTCAAATCTGTGTGTCATACCTAAAGCGATTTAAGAAACATCATCCTGTGCCCCTTTTTCAGTGATATGAAGATCAGTGTGATTTATATGATCTCAGAGCTGCCCAGGAACAGTTGCACTTTCTTTTTTACTCTCAAGCGATGTGATTGCAATGTCATCATTTTTAAGCCTAACTCATTATCCAAAAGTGACGTCAACCCGTTGAGCCCTAAACAGTCCTTCTCAGAGGCTTGCCAGTTTCTCACCATCAACTCAAAAGGCCTGATAATGGCTATGCCACCTGGCCCCTGTTGATTGTGCCCACCACACTCAGCTTGGTGGTGAAAAGGGAAGACTTTCACATCAAAGCAGGAAATCCAGCCTTGTCTTTTATCTGCCCATCTGTCTTAGCCCATTGTGTATACTTGATTGGACTGCCTCCTTAGCTTTCAAGCTGTAAGGGTGTAGTCAGGAAATCTTCATGGTGTGAGTTTCTCTTATTTCTCGAAGGGCCTGGCAGGTTCCTTTTTTACAGCTGACCCATTACTTCATCAAGAATGCTTTTCTTGTGGGTAAAGTACAACAATAATCGAAAAAGAAGTCGGGCCTTTGAAGCAGCAAGGATATTTGCTGAATCTAAAGAAAGAATGTTTAAAGATAATAACTATATATTAATCATGCACTTTACAAAATAAAAAAAAATTGAAGATTCTCGTACTTTGATGGAAAACTGCTAACCTTTTCTCTACCTTCTTACTATAAAGACATTAAAACTGTCTTTTGTGGAAATATGCCTTTTAAAATCTTTGTGAAAAAGAAAATTTATCATCAGAAGTAAAATGTGGCAGGTTTTCATGATGAAGTTCTCAGATGACGTCTGTCTCTGAGGGGTGCAGGCTGCAGCTGTCGAGCATGTTGGTGGTCGCCTTGCCCTTTTGTTCTAGCTATCAGTTACCGATCTTTAGGAACTGAGGTCACTGTTTCCCAATCAGAACATGCTGTGCTGTGGCTGCCTGGGTTTGTGCTCTCATCTTTGCCAGGTTTTGACCAGGAGTGTGAAGGTAGTACTTGCTGTGGGTATGAGGGTGTGTGGTTAGTGTCCACAGAAACTATGCCTAAAAACCAAATTCAGCCAAGGTGGCTTCCTTCTGAATGTCTTCCCTCCCCCTACACTCTACCCTTAAAAGTACTGAACAGCTTCTGCCAATGTAATTGCTACTAATTATTCACGTCCAAAGTCACATACTTCTTTTGTAGTTAAATTCAGTTTATGAGACAGGTGTTGATCAACTGTCAGTTACTATGCTATCTTATGTGAGAAATACAAAAGTACAAAAGCTATGGTTTCTTTCTTTTCTTTTTTTTTATGGTTTCTTTATTCAAGAAAATTATAGCCTAATGCAGAAGGACTTGTACATAAATGTCACAGGATTAATTTGATTCTAAGAAATGGAATCCTACTTGAGGTAATTTAAATAAAAGTGGGGATTTATATATGAAACTGGTGGTTCTTCTAAAACCCAGGACAGGAAATGGAGGCAGATCTCATGAGGAACTTAGAACTAACCAAGCAGAAAAGGAATTACAGCTTCTCTCAACCACCCTGACCAGCCTAGCCACCACAGGGTGTATTTTCTCTGACCCTTTCTGCATGTGAGCTGTATTTATTCTGTTTCTCTCTACACAGTAGCTGTCTACCTGCTCAGTAGCATTCAAGGCCCCAAAATGGCACTGCCAGTCCCTGCAGGTCACGTACTGAAGTCTAGATCACAGAGTAGAATTTCCAGGTTAGAAAATCTTAGTGGTCTAGCTTGAGACACTTATTTGCCCTGGTCACTAGTCTTAACCAGAGGTAGGGGTCCCAGGTACATGACCCACTGTCCAATTAGCAGGGACTGTGGGACTTGACTCTCTGGCAAGGAGTGTGGATACAGCAGATAGGTTGAATGGCCTGTCTCTTTGAGCTGTAACTATAGTACAGAACAGAATGGTGCAAGTTCTTCCATAGGAATAAAATAATTTTCTTTTCTTTTCTTTCTTTTTTTTTTTTAAGGAAGATTAGCCCTGAGCTAACATCTGCCAATCCTCCTCTTTTTGCTGAGGAATACTGGCCCTGACCTAACATCCGTGCCCATCTTCTTCTCCTTTATATGTGGGATGCCTACCACAGCATGGCTTGCCAAGTAGTGCCATGTCTGCACCCGGGATCCGAACCAGCGAACCCCGGGCTGCTGAAGCAGAACGTGCGCACTTAACCGCAGCGCCACTGGGCCAGCCTCAAAATAATTGTCTTGAAGTATAGAGGACGTGGGTAAAAGGGAAAATCCAGGATCATTTCTTGGAGAATGGAAGCCTCTCTGCTAAAAGGTCACTGACTGAGAGTGCAGAGTAGATGAGAAGGGCCATGGCTGGAGGCCATTGCAGTGAGACAGAGGATGATGGGGCGATCCTGCAGCAGGGGAAGCAGGAAGAGTGAAAAGGTTCAGGGGAGATGAATTCTCCCAGAGATGATGGCTGATTGGCAATGGGGCAGGAAGGAGGACAGAACCTTGGATAAACTTTTGAGACCTCCAACTTGGGTGATTGGGTAGATGATGATGGCGTTTAACCACAAATCACTGAGAGCAACTACAGCTCCTGCCATTCCCTTCACTTAGGCCTCATTGTGTGCTGTTTCCCAAGTGGACTGTGTTTGTTCGTAGCTCCAAACTTTTGCACACTACACTTCCCGCAGCAGTGGCTTTCCCCTCTCCCCAGGGTTTGTTTGGTGAGATACTCACGTTTAACCCAGTTGTCCACTAGAGAAATGTTCCCTGACTATGAGTCCTCCCTCCTGGGTGCTCCCATAGTTTCTAAAATACCATAATACATCAATTATTGTAGCTCTTGTCTGTTTGTATTGTAATTGCTTATGTAAGTTATTTACTTGGTCATGAGCTCCTTTAGGACAAGGATACTCAATGAACGTTTGCTGGCTGGTCAAATGGGTAGATGAAAATGATTTTTTGACCCTGAGATCTTCAACTGGGTTGACTAGGAAGATGTTGCACCATAAGTCAGCTAGAAAATGCAGGAGAAGGAGTTTGGAACAGAAAGTAGTGAGAACCAAGGTTCTATGATTTTGAAATCAACACTTGATAGCAACATACAGCCAGTATATAAACTTAGGTAGAAAACCCCAAATTTAGAATCTTTAACAAAAGGATTAAATAGAATGCACAAACTAATAGGATACTTTATGATTTCAGTAGAAAGGGGCCTTAAGGAGGCCATCAATCTTGGTGCCCCCTTCAGTGTAAGCATCACTTCTCTGGTGCCCCTAGTGGCACTTTGGTGCCTCCAGTTACTGGGAGTCCAAAGAGTATTACAGTACTGGAAACTCTAGTTGTTGGAAAGTTATTTTTCATCTTGTTCTTAGAATTGTCATGAGGATCTCACTTGAGCCTTGTTCATCTCTATACATCACATCTACAACATTTTCATGAATCTTAGTCCTATAATGCTATCAAAAACCTGAAGGTAATCTGTTCTTAGTGAACCCTTGCTGGCTTTTAGGGGTCACTGCTTTTTGATATGGATGACAACATATTAATACTTTTAATATTTAGTACTAGACTCTCATCCAGGATACTTAAAAAGCCACATTGGCTTCCTCACTGGGATGATTTGTAATTATAGAATCAGATTTACAGTGGGTTTTTTTTTTTTTGGTAAGGAGGATTGTCCATGAGCTAACATCTATGCCAATCTTCCTCTATTTTTTTTTTTTTTAATGCCCTGGGTTTCTGCCACAACATGGCTTCATAAGCCATGTGTAGGTCCA